TGCTTACATGATTGTTGCAAAAACCAGTTGATGAACATGTGTATGAATTATACAAAAGGAGTCAATGACTCAGAATTCATGAAGTGTACCCCAGCATGGGGTAGATCATGTAATCAATCCTGGCTGGGAGAAAAAAGCACAGACTGAGTAATCCATCGCTGCTGTCATAGGAAGCGTTGTTATTGTAGACCCATGAACGCATCCCCACAATGGAAGTCTGCACTGCTGTCATAGTTGTGAAATAAGTACCTTTAACAAAAGATGGCTGGTTGAGTCACAGTTTCCATAAACAGTCAGTTTGGTGAAGGACCCTCATTGAGAGAAAGCTGATGACAAATGTTTGCACTGGTACAAATATATAAGAATTCTGGTTTTCTTGAAGCATTTTTATGTTTTTTCGAGCTAAATAAACTGTTGGATGACATTCTTTTGACTCTGCACACAATGAGAACTTGACTTGACTTGTTTCACATTTTCAAGAAGTTTCATTCCTCTCTCCACAGGTCTACATTCTACAAATATCTGCAGTATCTGCCTCATGTAGCGCTGAATAACGACCAAATTTACAAAGACATGGCAACATTGCAGCACAGATTAGCTAGAAAAAAAACAGCTGTCGGGCTCTTAAGGTGGAAGGCTTTGTTGACCTAAATGTCCCTGCGCAGTATCGGCCGACTTTGCTGGTTCTGTCTGTGAGGTCCAAAGGCTACATCTGATTTGAATGAGCGGAGATTCCTGGGCCTCTTGTCCTGTATTGCCCCGGGACTGCAGGAATGCAAAATGGAGCGGACTCAGGATTAGTTCCCCCTCCTCCTCCTCCTCCTCCTCCTACTCCTCTTTTCTCCCTGTTTTCCTCCTTCCTCCTGGTGATACAGTGAGTGGAAGAGAAGGAGGCAGAAGAGGAGGAGGGGGGGGCTGCATATGTTTGTGTGTGTGTGTGTGAGAGAGAGGGAGGCGCAGGTAGTTACCGATCTGAACGCGTTTCCCACCAGCCAACAGTACAAGAGTTCAGATTACGGCTCTGTAATCGCCTTGGCAGCCAGCAGAGCAAAGTCCAAGTTCATTTCAATTTGTTAGGGTTCTTGTGCAGGTATGGTATGTGTTTTTCGATGTGCGTGAGAAAAAGGAAGAGAGAGTTCTAGAAAGGGAAACCATAGGTCAATGAGGTGAGGAAGGAGGAGAGTGGTGGCTACCAGCAAGATCATCATGTTCTCCATACGCTGCCATGTCGCAGCCGCACTCTGAGTTCCTCTTCATGTGTTTTTTTTTTAATGGGTTTTGTCTCTCCCAACTTCCCCCCTGAAACTTTAGTCACATTAAACTAGGCACTGAGTCACAACTGGGCGTTGGTTAAATGCAAGGAAACAAGGGGAAAAAGTATGCAATAACCAGCTCATTTCTGCAGTATGAAAAAAATGTCATGGTTAGCTTGGAGAATTCGCCTGCCTTCCTCCCTTGCAGTCACTGTAGGTCGTCCCAGCGTTACCTCGTCTAGGATTTATTGATGTCATTGCAACTGTTTCTTCGAGATCCACCCATGCTCTCTGCGTGTCATCTTTTCAACTTCTTGGCTGTATACATCTCTTCATTCTTGTAGCTCGCCACTTTTCTTGGGTTTGTGGTTAAAGAAAACTCATAAAAGAAATACTTTGAGTTTAGCATTTTGGTTGGTTTGTTTTTCTGTCAAGAGATGAGATGTCCATTAGTTATAAAGCTAGAGGCAGAAGACGGTTAGCTTAGCTTAGCATAAAGACTGGAAGCAGGGGGAAACTGCTAGCCTGGCTCTGTCCAAAGGTAAAAACATCTGTCTAACAGCGCCTTTAAATCTTAATGATTAAGAGATGATTACATCTAGTTTGTTGCCCTAAGTTAAGTTAACTGTCTCCTGGCTATAGCTTCTTAATTAATGAACAGACATGAGAATGTCAAAATTCTCATCAAACACTAGTGAATCGCCTGCTTGAAAGAAAAGACAAGAAAACTTGGAGCCAGACAAATGGAGTGATCTGTGTGACCCTTTTAAGCGTAATTAAGTTTTAAGGCTTACTGGAACCAGTGCTATAATTCTAGTCTTTGTTCGGCTTTATAGTTTGTATACCTGCCACATTTAATCAGTCTTCTTCCCCTCTTTCCCTCCCTCTCACATCTTTTTTCCAGGTGCACTGACCAAGGTTAAAGACTGCCCGAAGCAGGAGGGTGAGCTCCATGACCGCTGCAACATCATTTCTTGCGCCACGCTGGCAGAGATCCAGCACTTCCACCGCACACGTGTACGGGACTTCCGCACGCAGATGCAGCACCACCTCCGTCAGCAGATCGGTTTCTTCCAGAAGATCACCGCCAAGCTGGAGGACACGCTTCAGAGGTATGATGATGACCAGTAGGAAGAGAGGGAGAAAAAACCGAGAAGTTGGACTATTAGAGGTCTTGAGGAAACGGGGGCAGGCTTGAAGAGGGGAGCAGGCAGGGATGATTGATGGGTTCGTCCTGCAGTAATGGAGAACATCTTATCATCCTTTTAAGAGAGAGTACTATTGGATGCGATGGATCCTGGGACTGGTACAAATCTTGGAAGAAATATACCACTCTTTTAATAAATATAGGCCACTGGACTGTGGAATGACAACTTCTTGGATTATCTGGATTGCTCTGATGAATGTACCAGTAACAGGGATTTTGCTGACACCCCAGGCACATCTTGCAACTCAGCGGGACTGTGACGATATTAAAAACAGCTGCTCTCAATATGACAGGGCTGCCTCTCCATTCGTGGTTTCAGGGTCACGTGATCTCTCCATGGCTCCACTGCCTCACCACTTCATGGAAACCCTCTTGAGAACACGGTAACTCAACAGAAGTGTGGAGATGAAACTCCCTAAATCACTTAAACTGGATGTTTCAATGATTGAAAGACAGGACTTTATTGAATTTAATGGTTTTCGTTATCTCTATATGTCTGTTTTTACCCGAATGACCTGTTCAGTATTGTTTTGATGGGACATGACAGAATGGAAGTGATTGTGAATATGGAAAGAGGCAAAGTGGGCATAATCTAGTTGAATCAGTTTAGTAGTTTCATTACAGCTTGAAGTTTGACCTACTTCTGATGTCTAACATATCTCACGACTCGGATGCTGTCACGTCTTCACGATATTATAATTTGAAGCCCTGTGTTCTGCATTTTAGTTTATGTGTTGCCTGACTTAAAAACAATAATTTATCTCAGACTGCTTTTATGGTTCTGCTTGTTTTGATAAGCAGCTCCACAGTTCTTTGTCTCTGGGTTACAGCAGGAATTAGATCACTAAAACTCAAACTCCACATCAGTCTCTCTGCTTTCCACCAATCTGGGGAGGTCGGTGGCTCAGGCTCAGGGTACAGACTCTTTGAAGATCTTCCTGTTTCCTGTTTAAAGCCACTGTGGGCATTTTATGTGATAATAGCATATTCAAAAAAATGTATTGTAAAAAAGTTAGACAATCTTGGTGAAAGAGTGTCTCCGACATGTCCCGGTGATGCTGTCTTTATTATTCTACCACTTGAGGGCGCCAAAGTTGGACATTTTCAAATAGTACGCACAGTGGCTTTAATTTGTTCTCGGTATGCTAACCAGCTACCCTAAAATCTTCTTGTTAAACCAATAAGTGACCAAAATAAGCTCACAGAACAGTTGAGCAAGAAAATCCATTTCAGTTTAAGTAAAAAAAAATCCTGCACTGATTTAATCAGAAACATGTAATTCACTACGATGACACTGTTTCTTAACACTTTTAATGTAACACATTGGAACAACATTTCATTAAATAAATGGAAGTAGAATTTATTTCAATCATATATCTGTATTGCTGACTGTTTTCCTAAATGTAATTGTTTAATTTCCCCCATTATGTCTCGTCTCTTTTAGTTAGTGTTTTGACGGATATTAATGTTTTCATTATATTCAAGATATTAAAATATTGTGTTTTTTAAAATGTTCACATGTAAACACAAGCACTGTTGGTACTAAAATCAGGGCATCAGAGCGGGTCAGATTACTGTGTCATATCAATCTTCAGTGGAGAACAGCATTACACACTTATATGAAAATCACAGATCATTTCTTTAAAAAAAAAGTGAAACAAGACACCAGCCCCATAATCTTTTAAAAGGAATTCTTTATCTTGTGTATTTTCAGCGCTAGGTTTTCCCACAGTGAAGCCTGTTATCATTTGTTTTTCCTGTGGAGGCAGCAGCAGTCCAGACCCTGATATCGGACACCAGAGTTCACAGACTGCCGGTCGGGTTACTGCAGTTGCAGGCTCTTCATTATTTAGACCAGCCTCTTCCTCCTCTGTTTTCATTTTCTTCTTCACTCTTTACAATAATTACAAATGATGGCTATTCTGAATCAGCCAATACTTTCAATTCATAGACATTCAGAAGTTTTTATTTTTATTATTTCTAAATATTTTCTTCCACTTCATGCAAGAAAGAAAGCTGTCCTGCTATTCTGCCTCTAATAGCTGCTCCTAATCCATTAAGTTATAAAAGTATCACAGCGGTACCTGTTGGTCAGGCTGGCCATGGTGTGCTTTGAAACCTTTTCATACACACAAATGATTTGATTAAAACCAGACTTGGTTTAAACCACCAAGTGGTGTGGTGCATATATGGGTCAGTATACATCTGGAAAACATGTTTCAAGCACTGACTTCTAAGTACTAACAAAAACTGTCTGCACATGTAGGCCAAAGCCTGTGAAAGCCTTTTTGTCTTTGATTACTGAATGGCTCTGCTTGCTGAGGCCTACTTTTACATAAGTTACATAAAGCCTAAACGGGTCAGTGTAATTGTCACACATTTGTCAATACAGTTTTCAATGTGTCAAATACTCAGCTTTTAAAATGTGCGTCCCCATTGTCAGCAGATGGACAGCCTGTTGCTGTTGATCAATAACAGTCGAAGATCTGAAAGAAGATTAATTCTTAACCTCCTTCTTAGTGATTGCACACACAGACGACTTACAGAAATATCTTTTATTAAAAATAAATCTTTCACAGTGCATGGCGAACAGGCTGGCATGAAACGGCTCAAATGTGACGAAAATGGTGAAGTGTATCAGGAACTGAGGAAGCTACTGATGCCTTTGTTAATGCTGTATAGTCAGAAACGGTTACAGCTCACTGCCTCAGTCAGAGCAAACAGGAAAGTGCAGAACGGTGAATGACACCTGTGTCTGTGCATGAGTGGTGAATGTTGTAAACAATAGTTTGCATGCATGGACTTGGAAGACTTACAGTACAGTCACTATTAAGTAACACATAAATTCTATAATATTGTAGGTGAGAGGTGTCAGTTACCACTTATACTATAAACTCACAATAAAGCTAACTTAAAATACATCTACATATAATCTGACTACCTTTTACAGTAAATGCTTCACTCAGTCTTTGTTTCACTTCCTTGTTAAGCAGCAGTTACAAAAATATAGTACTATATTCATCACAGCTGTAGAAGTTAAAACCAAAGTTTTGAGGAATCAGTCAAATTGCTGGTTGCAAAAAATGTATCTTTGTATAAGGAAACCAGTGGTGGTCAGGCTTTTGTCACGACAGTTAAGTTTAGCAAAAACTGGAAAGTACTTGACAATAATAATAATAATGGATACTGTTTACTATGAACAGTACCTCACAGGTCCTAGGTAGCTGAGTAATGTCTTACAGTTTTTCAGTATATAGTTACTACATTAAATATGTGTTCAGTTCAAGTTGGTTCAGTGAAATTACTTAAATATAATGGCAATCATACATTTCCTACAAAAAAGGAACAATTTCTTCAACAGATGTACATATTTTTAAAAGTTCATAGCAGGTCAGATGTGCCTCTCATTACTATAGATGTCCCTTGGACAGTACACACGCCATTTATACCCTTCAAACCAAAAATACACCTCTAAGGCACACAGTTTTTCTTTGAATTACTTCCAATCAAACCCAGTACTGGTTGTCTTTAAGAGTCGGAGTTGGGGATGTAGATCTCTTGAATCCTGCAGTGACAGCTGCAACACCACAAGATACACTATCTCTTTCCCTACTATTACCACCTCTAATATTCCCATGACCACCCGCTCCATCAGCTTCAAATGGCCCCCAGAAGGTCATCCCAGGGGCCAGACTCTTCCTTCTGGGAGTTATGGATACCTTGGGTGAGGTAGGGCAGCTTCTATAGCCCAGCGGGGTGACCACAACAGAGGGCATAGCCACGCTCCGCTCCACCCGGCCCATATACGGGCTGCCCTCAGTGGGCAACGCCACAGCGGCGAGCTGCTGGAGTAGCCGCAGCTGGGCCTGTTTCTCCTTGCGGCGGCGGAACACCAGGATCAAAACTACAAGAATGATGATGAGAAGCAAACAGGCCAGCAGCGGCAGGATAATGAGGAGTGGGTCAGAGGCGGGGCGAGGGAGGACCTCGACGTGAACCGGATGGGTGTCAGGAGGGATCACTGGACCGTGTTTGTCTGAGACAGAAGGAGTTTGGGGATGTGGGTGATGACTGTGACCCCCTCCTGCTCCCTCTGCACCACTCCCTGATCTTCCTCCATGAGTGCGTGTGTGGTTCCCCCAGCGGCTGTGAGGCCTCAGCTTGTGCTGTGTCCTGTTGTGGTTCTTATGTGACAAAATATGGGGGGGCAAACCCACCCCAACGCCACTGTGCGTTGTGGATCCCCCTCTTCCACCTCCTCTTCCTCCTCCGTTAGTAGTCTTGTTATGCGTCGGTAGATGGGCTGTTGTGTGTTCGCGACTTGCGCCTTCTGCTATATTTGTAACAATCGGACCATGATGCATCTGGTGGTGGGGAAAGATGGTAAAGTGAAGCTCGCCCTTCGCTGGTTGGACGTTTCCAGCCTTCAGCATGAAGATGAACGAATCATTGAGAGGCGTGGCGGGGGTGTGGCCTCGAGGTGTTGCGAGTGCTGATTTGTTACTATGGAGCTGGTTGTCACCGTCGCTGAGTGTCTCCTCGATGGCGACCCGGCCTTGCACCACGTCTCTGAACGTAAACGACTTCAGGACCTCTGATGCTTGGTTAGGGTCATAGGTCATCTGACAAAGCAGAAATGAGGTGTGAGTGTAAATTTAAAACAGGTGAGTCACAGTTATTTATAAGCTTACTTATTTTGTTAACATGTTATTAGGCTGCAGGTCTCTGTGTGTTAGTAATGCCGGACAAACAGCTGGGGCACACAAGTAGGAACAAAGATCAGTGTTCACAGCTGATCTTTTCCCAAAGCACACTATAGGTTTAGATTTTAGTTCATGTCAGACACTTGAAACTGGCTTGAGATACATAATCCCCCACCCTGAATAGCATGTAAGCTTTATTTATTTTTTGTCAGTGTTTTTTGAATGAATGTAAATGAGTGTAAAACAATGGCTGCCTGTAATATAGGAAAACAACCTCAAACTTGGCAGTAGACAGTAGGCAGTAAAAACACTAGTATGGCATGTTCCTTTAAAACCCTCTCACAATCTTACAGTGAGCAGCTTTACCTTGACTAGTTTTCCATGTTTTGGTGGAGATAGAACCTCAAAGACCGGGTCTGCTCGGCTGATTCTCGCCAGCTCAGAGGCATCGATCATGGCTTTCCCCAGTTTCACAGCGATACCACTGGGCACTCTAACCTGCTCCCTCAGGTAGATCAGAGGCCGCACAGTTACCTTCACAGTCTGGTCTGTGACATTTCCATAGTCAACACCGGGGGATGAGGCTGACACCGACACCTGAAAGCTGTCCTCTGATTCGCTGAGATCAGTCATGTGGTAGACAACACGGCCAAACTGCAGGTCCTCATGGCGGAAGGTAGTTACTTCCTGGTCATTAATGGCAATGCGTCCATGGCGAGGGTGTGTGGTGACAGCGTAGGTGATGTTGGCTGGGCTGCGACCGTTGGTTTGAGCAGAAAGCTGGTTGATTGTCAGGATCACAGCGGTCCTGCCTTGAACCAATGACAGGCCGGTGTTGTTTACTATGGAGACAGAGGGCTTTATCACCACCAAACTGAACAGTCTGTAAAGTGGGCGATGATGACCGTCGGTTATGTTGAAGTAGAAGACACCTGTTGAGGGCTCACCCTAATAGAGGGAACAAAGAAAGGAAGTATGAAAGAAATGGAATTTAAGAAAGCATCAGATAAGTTCACAGCACACTCAAAGACATCAAAACAGTACCATCTCTCAGCTGATTTATCACACAACAATAATGTAAGACATGCTGGTGGATAACATATCTCAAGCTCAAGGTTTTAAATCTCTGCACGTTGATTCCCACACTACATTGAAAAGAATGTGAAAAGAACAGAAATGAATAGCGACCTAAAAGTCAGGAGAAAAAAAAAAAAAAACCTAAAGCCTATTACTACTACTATTTCTAAGGGAAGAATAATTTGTATTTTTGTTGCTCAATGATACAGAGGAGAATTAAGAAAAGTTAATTCACACCCCAAGATTTAATGGATTTCTGCTGTTGGCGACCCCTAGTGGCAGAATAAAAAACACTGGGGTATAAAGGAATGCATGCTAATTTTTTTACAAGCACAAACTTTGCCCATTAGATGCTCATACAATGATATAATCACATAAAAATGAAAAATGGTCTCAAATTGACATCCCTTATGCACACACATTTGCGTAAAAGAACTGGAGCAGTAAAGTCTCCTGACTGATTCTTCACCTGCTGAATGAAGTGTAGCCGGCCGTGGTTGACGTCATACTGGGTGAAGGAGGTCACTGGCTCTGGTCTTTCCCCCAGCGTCAGGTAGCCGTTACTGGGCTTACTGATCACAAGGTAGTGCAGCTCCTCTGGAGGGGTGTCATGATCCTCAACCTGGAATGTAGATTGAATGCACAGTGGGTATAGAAAAGCTGTTCTTTATTTATTTATGTTATAAAATCTTGTAGGAGAGATAGACTTTATATCACCCTGCCTGTTATTTTGACTTTGTATGTGGATTTTTAATATTATAATCTCCTTAAACCACCATTAAGAAGTAGAGGCAAGCTATCGGTAGGCATAATTGTAAAATTGTAACAACTAAGTCTGCTAGACAGTCCAGTGGATCCTTGGAAAATAACAAAATGTTATATAATTAAGATACATTTAATATGATCAAATCAATTTTGAACCATAATTGTGCAGCCCTAACCATCACCTGCTCTCTTAACAATGGCCCACCTGCAGATTGTCTGGTCCAATTACGACTCTCTCTCCAACCACGACCTTCATACTTGGGGCTCTGCTCCTGATGAGTGGCGGCTGGTCGTTGACCGGTGTCACTGTGATGTTGAACTTCTCCGTCACTGCCAGGCTGTCCTTGACATGGCCATGAGAAACCACATCCAATGACGAAAAGGAGGATGACGAGGCTGAATAGAGAGGAGAAAAGGAGGAGGAGGAGGAGGAGGAGGAATCAGAGGACAAAGCAGACAAGGAAGATGAGGAGGAAGAGGAGGAGAGATCCAAAGGAGCCACCCAGGCCCGAAAAGTGAAGCTGTCGCTCGTTGTCTCTGAGTCATCGTGGATGTATGTGATGCCGAACTTGTTTAAGGTGACCTGAGAGAAATCAGGCTGGTTCCTGTGAGAAGATGTAAACATAAAAAAAGCCACACTTAATATTTATTTAATATTTGTAAGGTTGTCTTTGAAAAACAAAAACACATGTCACCAAGCAATTGTTTGGGTCCAGAATTTCTCCACTTATTTGCCAAATGTGTGACTTTTGTCCTTTTAATGTTTTCCTTGTGAATTTATAACATGCATACATGTGCCTTGGATTTGGTTGGGCTCATTTTGATTCAAGTGTTCAGTTCATTTATTAAGACACCAAGAACTGAGCCAAGCACCTGGTGAGGTTGTGACCTTGTATAGACAGAGCCCCGTGGCGCGGCAGTGAAATCACACGGTACAGGATGTGGTGGTCTTTCCTGCGGGGCTCTGGGACTTTCACAAGGAGATTGGAAGCATCAAGTTTAGAGCTGTCAATCATCACCCGGCCTCCCTCGGCCACCACGGCACCTGAATGACACATACAAACACCTCAAGCGGTCCTCCTGAACTTATATTCTTCCTGGTACAAGTGTTTAACCATCTGAAAGTATATAACCAGGCTTTATCTTTCCAGAGTCACTCATAATGTCAGACAATACCTGCGTTGTTCAGTAGTCTGGTCTTATGTTGAGGGTTGTCGTGATGTTCGTTGGCCTGGTAGGAGATTAAGATGGTGAAGGTATGCGGAGGAAGGAAAGCAGGGGGAGAGGACACGGTGAAAGAGAAAGAGTCTGCAGCCGACCATCCTACTGACTCTGCCTTTTTCTGATCATACAAGATAACTCCATCATTCACCTGAGAGACAGAGACAAAGAAATGAGGAGGGAGAAAGGGAATTATTTTATTTGAGTAGAGAATTTTTTTCCTTTTGCTGCGAAGGCATACAACACACAAACACACATCCCTACCATGCTTTGCGTGAACATGGATATATTTTGTGTAGAGTTGTCAGGCATACGTTGGACCAGGCGACCGAGTTTAGGAGGAGTGGTCACTGCAAACACCACAGAGTGGTTCCTTCTGATGTCGCTGACGTCGTTGGTTACGGCCTGAAGCTCCTCTTTAGTAATTGGTGTCACAGAGCCTTTAAAGGTAAGAAGGATTCAGTGAGAGAAAGCTCACAACAACAGAAAGGAGGCAGTGAATGATCCTTGTTAAAATGTTTAATCATTAGACATCCCCATGCTTTCATTGTAAAAAGCCAGAAAAGGGCAGACAGACTGAGAATAGGGGAAATGAATGAATATAGGCAATAGGCAAGCAAGGGACTTTTTGGTGATCTTTTTCTTTTTTTATGTGTCATCCACCAGGAATAATTATTCCTCCTTTTGAGATGTAACTACTTCTGCTTGTGACAATTAGAGCTTTTAAAATATGCGGGGGCACTGAGATGAGTCACCCTCTGTAAAAAATCAGTTATCAGTGTGCAAGATATTGTGTCTGTTGTACTAAGGTACTAAGTGCCTACTAAATTTGGCTATTTCTGAAGAAAGTGATTTTATGTTTGTATCTTCATCGCCACAAGTAATATACTATTTTGTTAACGATATAAAAGAAAAAAAAAGTCAATAACTACAGTATGAAATGTTCCATACACACTATCAGAATAACAGCTTCACTTATGTAACCTTGACCAGACCCCTAAATACTGATAAGTGTGTATGTTAACAGGTTGGTGTAGGTGCAAACATGATGCTAATGCTTAGACTAGTGATGCCACCCAGTGTTATATAACTGCATTACATTATTTTATTTTAATAATAATCATAGGAGGAATTAAGTTAAAAACCATTAAACAATGGGAAAAAAATAAACACATTTCATGATAATAAATACTTATTACAATACTATCTTCTCATGACCCTGAAGAGAGCTCTGAATACTGATCACCAAGTTCACCAGTTTGGATTTAAAAACCACATGTACTGAGCTCGAGCAGAGAAATGCCTGCCTTACCTCTCCTTCCATCAGTCACTATACAGTATTTAAGCTGATTTTATGCAGTCCAGGGTGTCAAACCAGGTAAAACCCTACCTGGGTAGACCTCCATTTGTTGATTTCTCTGCAGGGTGAGGACCAAAGAGTGGGCAGTTGTGCTGAAGATCTGGCGAGGGGCGAAGTTCACACCATCATTCACCTGGAAGTGAAAGCCTCCCGACAAAGCACCTACACATGAACAGAGTCAACATCAAGAAAACAGAGGTGTAATTCCTTCATTTATTCCAGACTCATCTAACTCATCTATTGGTCTAAAAGTCTATATGCTCACCACTGTGCACAAACACCAGTTGTCCGGTTTGTATGTGACTTTGGGTGAAGTTCAGGATGTGTCTGGAAGGGGCCGACTTCAGGGCCAGGTGCCCGTTGCTGGGTGGTGTGACAACAAACTCCAGCCACTCAGGTGGAGTGTCCGAGTCATCTGCACTCAGATCATTTATGGTGATTTCTGTCACGGAACCCACCCACACCTGAGGAAACGAGGAAAGGACAAGAAGGCTATTAACTTTAGCTATTGAAAGAATAGTTTGATATTTTTGGGATATTAACTTATGCCGAGAGTTAGGTGAGAAGATTGATATCTTGCTCCTGTCTGTGCGCTAAATATAAGCTGGAGCCAGAGGGTGGTTAGGTTAACTTAGCATAAAGACTGGAAACAGGGTAAACCGCTAGCTTGGCTCATTATATAATAGTTATATACAAAAACTTGTCACTATAATAACAACAACAACCATAATTACAATAACAACAAAATAACAAAAGGACAATAAAAATATCAATATATGAGAGTTGGAAAATATTTAATAAAAATATATCAGCCAATATATAATATAATTTAATAATATTTTTTTTTCACATAAAAACAAATTTTGTTAAGGATCCCTTACATTTGGTTGTGACCAAGGAATGTACTAAGCCGGAGAATTTAAAGTTGAGAAATGATCTAACACATATTGTTAGCCTTTCTGTACTGCAATTTCTTATTACTTATTGGCCAACATGTATGCGGATACTCATAAAGTTAATATCAGTCAATTTATTGGTCTAGTTATACTGTTATCAATTACAGTCACAGCTAACAGTATAGACAGTACATTATACACTGTACACGGCGTGTGTGTGCACAGTTCTGGTTCCCGGAGACAAACTTTTCTCATATTAGGTGATGTCATCAGACTCCCTTATTATGTAAATAATCACAATGCTACTTCTTATGAACATCTCTTATGGATGTATATTGTCACTCCCCACCTTCAGACCCTTGTTGGCTGCAATAACAGGAGTCTCATCATTGACAGGAATGACAATGACGTGAACGGTGCAGGGAAGACTGTGCTTCCTGATTTCCGTCTGATTGGCGACAATGGTAAAGTTGTCTCTGTGTGTGTCGCTGCCGTCATGGATATAGGAGATGTACTCACGTTCCACCTGGAAAGCGAGGTGAAGATTTATGTAGAGAGTGATTATAACATGGCCCTGATCAAATAATAGGTAGCAAAACAACAGTAAACATGACACACACAGGTGTGATATAGTGTGATTTCCAAACAATCAAGCAGTCATTGAGTATTAAGTCTTATGTTGAAAATGTTGGAACACAGCAACAGAGGAAAGAGTATATTTTAACAAAGCTGGGAATTGTTTCCCAAAAGCATATTAAGATCAATAAATCATTGTAAATAAGCTTTTCCAGGCTTTGTAATGTTGTCTTTAGACAATCTGACAAGAAGAGATTAAGTTAAGGATCACTTCTCTGAAGATGCACTAGAGGGAAAAAAGATTTATTAAGTTTTTATTTTAATATTCAAAACCTACTATATACCTAACTTTTCCTCTCCTATCACACTACCGCTCTAAGAAATGTGCTTTGCTAATGAACAAACCTTTATTGGATCACACCCACAGACTCTTTACAGCACAAATCCTCCTAATTACCTGTTTAAAAAGAATAATGTGCGTGTGCTGGTGGTCAAACCTCAGTGTGAGTGAAAGCAGTGATGGGCATCCCCGGGATCCGGCTGTGCTCCAAGTGTCCGTGTCGTGGTGGAACTATGACCTGGTACAGGAAGTTCATCCCCGAGAAGTGATGATTGGCGACCTTGATGATGTCAGAGGTCAGCGGCAGGGACGACCCCTCATCAAGGGTCAAGTCAGACACCTACAGAACAGACCAACAGATAATAGTACTAGTTTGTTGGTGGGATACTTTGAAGTTGGTTTGGTTGGTAAAATAAACTTCTCTCTCTCTTTTCATGCTATTCTTTCAGCTCAAGTACAAGTACATTCTGTACCTGTAGAGGGAGCAGGATCGGAATGATATCAATCTCCAGCCTGACAGGTCCGACCTTTGTGACCCCATTGGTTGCTTCCAACAGGACAGAGTCGTTGGTGCTTCCTGCAGCCTGCTGATGGTAGATGATCAATCCCTGGTTGAGGTCCTCCTGAGTGAAGGAGGTTGTTGGCTGCTCTCTGATGCCCTGCAGGGGGGAATGGAGCAGACAAACCCATGAGGTGTTGTTTCTGTGTGAGCTTTCGGGGGCCAGTTTTAATTTTTGATCAAAGCAGAGAGTGACAGAAAATATGAACGAGGAAAGAGGGGGGTGATATGTGAAAAAGGTCCCACGCATACCTGCCAACTCTTTCTTGGTTTTTCAAGTTATGATAAAGTGAGTTAATATAAAATGAGCGACTTCTAGTGACAAAACCACAATTATCACCTGATATTCCCTGGAGCTCTACAAGGCTTTTTAGTTTCTTTTTAGCAACTCCACTTTCATTAAAGCCCCTAAAAAGGGGGTTTAACATCTTTAATATGTCTCTATAACATTAAATATTTGACTAAATCAGCAACACAGTTCGGAAAGAAGTTTGTTACTATTATTAGGAGTTCAGTCAAAAGCTTTGATTTTCTTTCATCATGTGGTGTGGTTTGATCTGATCTAACCCCCATAGCTGCTCCACTTAGTCAGCTTAAAACCTAAAAAAAGGCTGGGTTAAATGTTGGTTGTACTTGATAGAAGTGCAGCTGTTCTCCATTGCTGTTCCGGTGCTTGTCGTTGGGGGGAAACCTCTGAAGGAAACCCAGGGTCGGAGGATCTTGGACAGTAAAAACTATCTCTGAGGGCTGGCTATCCTCATGAACCACCTGTTCAAACAAAACACTACATATTAGCAAATCGTATGGAAATATGCCACATTTATTAGTACAGGCCTCATTAAGTATAGTATAGGTATGTACTCGAGACAATGAGCAAGACAAATCCTGCATGCAGAACTATAACAATAGCATTATGGCAAACTATGACATTAAAAAATATCACAGGACTGATGTGTTGGACAGGTGGACACCCTATATGGAACAAAATTAACATTACCTCCAAGTGCTCCCTGCTTATGGAGACATTCTGTCCCTCTGCCACAACCACTGGACGGTTACTTATGACATTTGGCGGCCTCTGGTGACTCTCCAGGTAGATTTTTACCGGCACTCCGATATCCAGATGTACCTCCCTCCTCCCTCTGTCCAGTCGGTTCTCTGTAGTCTTCTCTCTTGCTCTTGCTGTCACATTGAACCCATCTGACAGCTCATGGCTGCCATCATGGTAATACGCCAGGCGCCCTGCCACCAAATCTCGTTGGGTGAATATTGAAATTGCATCTGCTTTTGTTACAGTCTCACGATCTTTATCATGAAAGCAGAGCACACCATATTTAGGTGGCAGGAAGACCTCAAATGTCACTTCCTGTGGGTCTCGGATATCAAGGTTACTGAAGACGCTGAGGTTTGCAGAGGTCAAGGTTGTGATCCCACCTCGCTGTACTGTGAGGCCTGTGTTGTTCTCAGCCTGAAGGTAAGGATCCTGAGCAATTACCTGCACCAGCCAGTTACACAGCAGAGACATAAATGTATTATTTACAGCAGAAGTCAGCAACAGCATTTTCCTTGTAAAACATAAAATAAATAAATTAAACTGTAAAATACATTAAATGTGAAAACATTATAATCACCTCCAGAAGGGTTGAAACATAATGTTTCCCATCTGATACAAATAGCACAAAACGCCCAAAACTCACTCCTCTGTGGACAAACAGCACCTTTTTCTGAAAGGACAGAAAAGAGAAGGAGATGATGAAAGAAGAGTAAAGAGCATCTGCATGTAATAAAAACATTCACAACACCAATTTTAAAGTGGTTGGTGGATCTTCAAACAATGTCTGAAACCCCCTCCCCTTTCACACTTTTCCAACACTGGGACTGACAGGCTGCGTCCTACAATTTTTGCAATGCATGCAGCAATTGGCTTGGTGTGCAGAGGTGGATTTGAACTTCTCTCTCAAGCTCTCTTATTTCATTCTCAACGCAACTCCTTCATCAAATTCTGTATACAATCAGGTGCAACTTATGAATATGTTGGAGTAAAGACTGTCCGAAATGTGTGCACCATTATCCCAATTTGTACAATTTATTGCGTCTCATCTCTTTCGCACCCAAACCTGAGTGTGGTCATTTGTAAAAATTTGTGTTAACATGTTTGCCTTTGGATAAGTTTGGACAACATTTCCTGCGAACTAGTTCACTTATCCAAGAGGCTTCATCAGTTCTACTAGGAAGTTGCAAGGCTTTTAAACCAATTTTTGTTGTCAGTTAGACATTGAGGATCACACAAGGGTTGTTGAAATCATGACGCAGAAACTTCTGGAGACTAAAACAAACTGTTGACTTAGTGATTCTAAATATTCTACCATCTGGATGACAAAAAATCTTCACAGATAAATGGTGCTAACCTGCTCAAGGTCCCGCTGTGTGAACTCGTACAGCTTGTGACTGGTATCACTGGCCAGCACCAGCTCTCCCATAGGAATCCCCCTCCGCGTGTAGACCAACCAATTGTCCTCAAAGTCAGAGTCATCGTCCCGGTAACGAAGGTCATTCAATGTCACCAACCTCTGCCCATCACGGGCCACATGGAAAACTTTATCAACAACCCGGACAGGTCTCTGATCATTGACGAGCTGCACAGAGATATTAAAGGTGTGTTCTGCTGTGTTTCTGTCCTCCTTCTTGCTGGTGTGTTTGTGAGGTTTGTAAACCATGATTTGAAAAGTGAAGTAATCCTGCTTGGTCTCGCTGTCATCATGAACATACATGATCCTCTCCTCGATGATATCGAGATTTGTGAATGTCAAAATGTTGTCGTTAATGGAAGTTGAGTTGGAAAGGTTGATCCTCCTTATTTGCCCGTGCCTGGGGCTCACCGTAATGCTGTACTGGACCTCCCGGTTACTTGCTGTGTGAGTGTACAGAATATCTTTGTTGATGACTTTACTTCCTCCCTCCAGGATTGTGAGGCCTTTGTTTATAACAGTGATGGCAGTCGACTCTGCTTTGATGTTAATTCTGAAGTCGTAAGTTGCTGAGTTGGCATGTGCTGAAAACACCTGAAATCTGAACATGTCTCTGGTGTCATCGAGCAGCCTGTTGAGCAGCTCATACTTCACCAAGCCATCTGTGATATTCTGTTGGCTGAAGCTCGAGTTCCTTTGTAGAACGTGGTCATTGAGGAATAACCTCCCTTTCTTTGGTACTGTCAGGAGCCTGAAGTAGAGGTCGCTCTCATTGAGTTTAACACCCTTAGAAATCACATGGAGGTCCTCTGAAGTAACAGTAGCATTCTGAACACCATTGACCTCCATCTTACTGCGTGTGACCTTGAAGTGAATCCAGCGTATCACAATGAGGAAAACAACCTCCTCTGTAGCCAGGGAACCGGTGCTGATCTTACATTTGAAGTGATCAGTGACGTTGTTCTGAGTCTGAAGGCCATGGTAAGTGTTGACATATCTGATCCGTTCTTTTTCTAGAAGCTTCTGAGAGAAGGAAGTGGTCGGTTTCCAGTCGCCACTTGAGTGCAACCGCTGGAGCTCACCATACTGTGGCAGCTCTGTAACATCATAGTGGATTTCCGATTCCTGATCAGCCACATTAACTTGTACTGCAAGGTGAATGGTTGTGATGATGGAAGCCCCACCTTGGTTTACTTCCAGTCCGGTGTTATTCACCAGTTTGTGTTCGAGTGGCACTACCATAATCCTCAAAACTACCGTGTTGCTCAACTGTGGAAAGAGGAGGGAACAAGAAAGAAAATAACAGAGGTAAGGATAGGAGATGAGATGAGAAAAAAGAAGAGTACACAAGGGAGGATCATCACAGTCAAGGTGATTCATCCCCCACAATGGATTCCTGTACTAAATTTCAGTGACAATCTGACTCATAGATATTGAGATATTTCAGTAATGACCAAAGTAATGTTCCAACCAACAGACCGCCAGACCGACACTGCCATCCCTAAAGCTGCTAGCATGGCTAAAAATGCCCCAACCCTATATCTCACATTCTTTATTATTAAATCTTATGGGTTTATTGTGTCTTGGGCTTGTTCTTTACTTACCTTCAGCCCGTCACTGACCCTGAGTGCCAGCCTGGAGGTGGGGACCCCAGTGTGGACAAAGCTGATCTTACCCTCCTCCAGATCATTCAGGGAGAACAAGTTAATGGCCCTGGAATATAGATGCAATCCTGTTAACATCCATGTTCTGTTGCATTCTGTTTCCAACTCTATTCAGATAATTATGTCAGGTCTAGTATTTAAAGATATTGATGATATTCTTTTGTTAGTTTCTAGTTAGGTAAGATTCAAGAAGCAGTGGGAAAGCCATCTATGATTAGCTTTTGTTTCACAAGCATTCATTTCACAGTGTATTTTTGTATAGAATATTTTGTTTCATCTGGATAAAGTTGTATAACAACCTCAGCTTCAGTAAGTCTTTGAAACCTGTCAGCATGTCTTTTTCTACCCTTGTTGTTAGATATATATACACACACACATATTTATATATACAGTTTATACATACAAAAAGCCACTTCTGTGCTATGATTGGTTGTAAGGAGATTTGCAAGGCACTGTGAAGCTTCACAAGCCACACAAACCTGCCGGGGAAATCCTGGTGCTCAAGGTGTCCAACCTCAGAGTTGAGGTTTCCCAGGGAACTGAACACCAGCTCTGCAGGACTGCTGTCAGGGTCTGACACTCTCACCACATCTGTTGTCAGCTGGGGACATTGTGGTTGTATTAATTTCAATGAATACTTCACACAAACATACATGCCATCCAGCCATTCTGCTGTACCTACCTGTCGTTTAGAGTTCTCCGCCACAGTGAAAAGGTTTCCCTCTGGCAGGCTGAGCACAGGTGCATCATTAACAGGACTGATGCTGATATCAAACCGGTGCAGGCGGTTGCCCTTCAGAAACACAGGAACCTCCTTCTTACTTCTGCAGAACACTGAAAACATGAAGAAGTCCTGTTGGTCCTCTGACCCACTGTGGACGTACATCACCCGGCCCTGCCACAGGTCCAGCATACTGAAAGTGCGGTCGACCTCTTCTGCCCCTATTGTAATAGTCCTCTCCTGCCCCTCGCCCCGAATCCCATCAGGGTCAAGACTTAGGTCCAGCCGGAGCTGGCCATGGACAGGCTGCCCCTCTATGCGGAACATCAACTGGGATGGATGAATGCCCAATTTCCGAAAATCCAGATTCACCTAAAAAGTGAAAATAGGAACTGACTTATACATTGATGCTTTAATGTTAAAACTATATAACTCCAGCTATTGTTTTAACTAATATTTATGTATAAGAAACTTGTCAAATACCTAAAAGTGAAAACTAGAACAGAAGGAGACAACCAGTCCTACCCTCATGTGTTTAGGCTCCAGTGGTGCCCGGCCTCCTTCCGCTACTTCTAGCTTTCTCAGGAACAAAAAGTTAGGGTTCTTCTTATTGTTGATAATTGGTTGTGTGGTCGTGACATCAGACGCAGGACGATCTGTTGGACTGGTGGTAGTCACTGCATCTGGAGCTTGCCCTGTCTTGCAGCCCACAGTGATGTCCTTCGTGATGGTGGCATGAGGTAAGCCTGTTCTTTGAGTGTTCACCCTAATTTCTCTGAGGCATCCTTTAAAGGAGCCTCCTCCCACAGCCAATTGCCCCACGGGCATAACGGACATCAGCCCAGCCCTTCTTGCCTCTTCACGGGCTTCTTCGTCCAACCCTCCCAAGAAGAGAGGCCCTTTGAGCTGGATGACCTGGAGCTCCAGACTCAGGTCAGCCTTGATCAACTCCTTGCCCACCTTCAGCTGGATGCTGTAGGGCAACAGGTGCAGCTGGATGGGGTACCAAGTGTAATTGTTGTGGACATGTGTTAGAGAACGCAGCTCAATCTTACTACCCTCTCCATTTCCTACTGTTGCCACCAGGTGACCGTCTCTGATCTCAATGGCAACAAACCCTCCCAGGTTACCAGAGCTATACAGGATAATGCCATCATCTTCTCTTGCAGAAGGGTGCAATTCACATTCAAACACCCCCTCTTGTGGCACCTCCCATGGCGGGAGAGAGATAAAGGCTTTAGAGCTGAAAAAACTGACAGAATCATCTTCTGTTGCAGAAAACTGTGGACTACAGCCCAGTGAGACCTCATGGACACTCTTGTACCCAGAATAAGGTCTCAGGCTGGACAGCAGGTTATGTTCATTGAACACAACTTCATCTACGCAACCTCTAAACCCGGAGGAGATGTTGAGAAGGTTTGGGTGGTTCAGTCCAGCTGCTCCACCAACAAAAAGCCCTTCCTCGACCCTGAGCTCCAGATCTGGTCCTGGCATACGGAGGCTGGTATGAGAGTTTCGGTCGACAGTCATGGTGACATTATGATGGTTGTGTGTCAGCTCCATGGAGTGCCACGCTAGGTCGCTAAGATGGATGCCCTTTTCTGAGCGTAGTGAGCGCTCACCTGAGCCCAAGTCCAGACGTACCTGGGGGATGTAGGGGGAGGCGAGGAGGAACAGAGTGAGGGAAAGAGGGATAAAAGGCGATAAGCAAGAACATAAGATGAAAGTCTTTCTAATATATGTTTTTATGCCAAAACACAAACTTCAATTAGTAAGACAAGCAAAACTTCCAAGAAAAGCAAAACATGTAGTAGGTACAAGTGGACAAAAGTGGAATTTTTGGAAGAGTTTTTAACTGTATATTAAAGGATTATTCCACAAACACAAATGCAACCAAACTCTTTCATGAGCAGCTCCCTTTGCCAACTATTGTGATCCTCTCGCTTAACCTGGGTCATGAAGGAACTTGTTCTGAAATGAAGCGCCAGTGCCAGGGGGTTCTTTTTTTTTCTCTCTGCAAGCAATTTGACACCAAGTTGTGTGTGTTCAGTCTTCTCTCTGGCTCTCCTCAGGATAGTAGATGCCAAGCTAAAATGACCCAAGGGACAAATATCTTCACTTTTTTTGAAGGTGAGTGAGAAGTGAGGCAATTTTATGTGAGAGCCTCTGGACAGGTTTTAGTTCGACTCATTTGTGCTCATATTCTTAAAAGCTAAGATGAACAATTAACACATTTGCTTTGCTTGGTGTTTATCACCCATGAATAGATTTCTGCCAGTTGCTTTTGACAAGTGTGCTACTATCTACTACTATACTACACTGTAAGTGTTTTAGCCTACCTGCAGACGCCCAGAGATCAGCTCCAGCAGCAAGTAATCTCTGCGTCCAGCTGCCAAAAACAGCAGCCCCGACTGACTGGAGGTTCGAAAACGTACATGAAGCACTGTCTGAATGGACGCCTCCACTGTTCGTAGGTGGATGTAGCCATCACCGTAGAAAGACACTACAACAATGAAAAAAAGGGGACATAAAGGTGCACAGAAAGTTTTTACTCACCCAGACTTTTATCGTGGGGGTTGATAGTTTTATTGATCAGTACTAATAGCAGATGTTCTGGTTTTCACAGAAATAAGCAGTGTGTTAATATGCTAACACACAGTGGGGTGGCCACAATATCATGAACACCTGTAAAATAACGCAATCCAGTGGCCCTTTTACAATATGTAACACAGTTAAGATTATAATGTTCCATTGTTAAGACTTTGATAGCAAGGTGGTAATCAAACTCGATAGTAATATATTTGTAATAGTTTGTGTTCTACCTTACTTTATATTATAAGGTGTTCATATTGTACTGTTTTGGATTGCAGTCTAGTCAGAAGCATCTCAGCTGTATTTGAAAGGTTTCATTCCCAGCTTTCTTACAATTTATTGTGAGGGAAAGTCATAAAATGGCTTTGGAGGTTTGTTCCATGGTGGCATATTTTATTTTTCTATTTTACTTACATTCTCATTTAAATCTTTCTACAAAAATATCTGCTAACACTTCATGACCAAAGGCCTTCTCCCTGCAATGGCTATTCCATTAATCTGTATTGACTAGCTGGTCAATGTGGCGTCTACTCTGCACTTTACACCTGCTATCCGAATTCAATTAATGACAACTAATGCATTCTAGAGTGGGTCATCCTGAAAGGTTCTGATGCTAATTATACTTCACCGGTGACCCAAATGTCACAGATTGGGCATTTAGATGAACAGACATTTCTCATTGGCAGGGCTGGGATCATTAGTTGGTGTAAAACTTTGGGGGCATTGTTTTTTTCACAGAACATGAAGCCAACTTGAATTGCGAACAAATGGTCGAAATATAAATAAAAATGTCTATGCCAACTATTTGAATTAATTCATTACCACATTGAACCCTCATCCCAGATATGAACTATAGAGTTATATGGCTAGTGTGAACATCAAAACAAGCTCTACAGCCATGCTAGCGGCTCTGTGATTTGACACCCTTTTTTCTATAGCCCCGTACAAATGAGGTACAAATACACCTTTGCTTTCTAGGGTTTCATAATTGTGGAATTACGATGTACTTGTATTTAGCAGTGATGCCAGTATACCCAACACTCCCAACTGTGAATGAAAACAAACAAACAGTTAAGTAGTCTTGAATAATCAATTTGACTGTTATTAGCTGTATTGGAGCACTCTTTCAAAATGACTGTCAATTTGTGGAAACGGTGACACACAGCAAATAAAGGTCAGGAGATGTGCATGTGTGTGTGGTTGGGGATGGCAGTGGTACTGAACACAGAAATTAAAGTAGCATTTAAATTATTCAAATTAAAGACAGAGAAACTGTTTCATACAAGAGACTATTTCCACCGTCTCAATAAAAAGAGCAAAATGTGATTATGAGAGAAAAAACGAAGCCAAAACATTTTATGAATAAATTACTAACTAGCTGCCTTGTAGAACTCACAGATTCTACAGTGTAATTACACGACAGCCAATAGTTTATGTTCCCACATCACACAGGAAAAAAAAGCAACTCAAGCCAGACTTCCAATCATAACCATTTAATGTTTAACAAAGTGTTCAACATTTTGGGCTAAAGTTAGGATACTTTTGTGTATTTAACATGGTTGTTTATAAGTAAGCACACATTTGCTTTTAAAAGCATAGAAAAAATAGGAAACAAACACTAATCTTTTACATCCATTTTCTACGATTCCAAATTTTCATCCTTTTTTTGTTTTAATTTCATGCCTACATTGGTCTCATTTGTTTTAATGACTTATTATTTTATATTATCCAAATAATTGCACTGAATGCAAAAACTATGTAAGTTTATTATCAAGGCTATCATTATAACACTGGTCCCAGTGAGAAGTACTCAGTCAGCAAGCCGGCCCAGCATGCCGCTCTACATAAAGCTTATAAGCCCACTGTCAGTATAACCCATGTCTGTCCATCCATCTCTAATCTTCCTCTACGATACCAGTGAACATTGGATTATTAGTAATCTTCCTACAGTCACAGACATAGCTCGAACGTAAATGCAGGTCTTTAATGCGCTGTCATGAACAGGTATAAGGATAGAGATATGTACAATTGTCTTAGGCAATGCTGATATGCTGTTATTTCTGCACTTGTATAGGAAATGTGGATATTTTGTTGCCAATCATTCAGATTTGATCGTAAGTGTTGCTTGAGATGTCCACAGTGTTAACTGAACTATGATGTGTGTGGATTCATAAACACTGGTCAAATATGCCCTTTTATACTCAAATTAGTACTTATTTTTAGCTTTGTGCAATTAAATGTTTTTTTTTTAGGAAAAGCAATGAGCAACTTAAAAATTATGAAAACTATCTTATAAGCTTTCAACTGTTTAGCAGGGCATTCGGTGAGAAGTGTGACACCATATCATGTACCCATGTCCCCCCATAAGTAACTACAAGCAACACCCAAAATATAATCCAGTACCCAGCAGCATATTGCCATATGTCTACAGGCAATATTAGACTGGATTAAACATTAAGCTGCCAACTGTCACAGGCACATTTTAACGTAATCAAAGATTGTACAAGCAACTATTCTGCAGTTACAGCAATACCATTATCTCCTGTGTCAGTTCATTTAAAGGGGCTGAGATTCACATCAGGACCACAGCCCCAGCTTGTACGTTAATGCTAATGTTAACTTTAATACATTTGCACTAACAACCATTAAACAACACATTGTTACATGCTTTTATAAGAGAAAGATTTTCACAACATTTATTGTTGCAATGCAAAAAATCATTCAACTATGATGTTGTAGCATTATTGTTTTCAGTTTTAACTTTTGCATCTCACCGTAAAAGGAAAAGTGCTTTTATCTCCTCTACAGTGTCTTAACTTACCTCCATAAACTTGTCCTGTGGAAATCAGCAGGAGCAGAAACAGATCCGCCGCAAAACTCCCCATTGTTAGTTAGGCCCTTCAAATCTAACTTGCATTTTAGTCAAGAGCAACATCTGGCTGCTTGATTGTGCCGCCCATTGTCTTTGCTGCACATCACTGGCTCTGCATGTCACTTCAACCACTGACAACTTCCCCTAACACTAACAGCCTCTACTTGCTTTGCTGGCTTTAGCTTACAGCCTTTAAAAAAATGTACCTGTGCCTGTGAGCAGAGCACATCGAGGTAGAGCTCCACCCTCTGACCCTCCTCTTGGCTGTTGTAGTGCTTGGTACCAAACATGAACACAAGGGGGTGGTGTCATAACACATACAGAGACGGAAGGGGGGAGAAAAAGCAGAAGCACTTTGTACAGCAGATTGTTTGTGTATTTCTGTTTAAGGCAAAACTGAAACTGGATCTGAAGTCTTGTTAGACTATTGAAGATATACTTATTTGTACCTATCTTTAGTTTAATGGCAACCTTTCTTACTCAAATTCAGCATCGAACAGAAGACTATTATTCTGCTATACATTTCTCATGATGAATGTGTATTTACTTATAGTGATTATGTGTGTTTTCTTAATTGATTCTGAGAAATATACTAATAGTAAAGGGCCAAAGTGACATCATGGAGAACAGTATAACAAGCATGTGACACAGAGCAGAAGTGATAGTAGTAATAGTATTTTACAATGTTAAACTAGGCGTTTGCATCAAGTCTACAACCATTCCCATCAGTGTGACATATCCCCTCACCAGAGACAAATACTTTTCAATTGTTTTACAAGAAAAGTACAATTACCCCCCTGAAAAATCTACTCAGTTACAGCAATGAGCCACCCGCCGAATTTAAATGAATTGACCTGCAGAGAGGAAGAGAAGAGAGAGAGAGACATCAATGTGAAGAATGGGAGGGAACAAAGTGTGCAGAATTGCTAAAACAGGAGAGAGAGAGGGAGAGAGAGAGAGAGAGAGAGAGAGAGAGGAAGTAAAAGGGAACGAGAGGTTGTAGGAGGGAAATGTCCTGTGGCTGATTTGAGGTAAGTGGAAGTTTGGGTGTGATTGTTCAAACTGCAGGACACACTCCCTAGTCTGTATCCTGAACCCCTCCCACCCTTTAACCTACCACCTCTACACACACACATACACACACACACACACACACACACACACACACACACACACACACACACACACACACACACACACACACACACACGCACACACACACACACACACACACACACACACACACACACTGCTATGCTGCAGCTTGAGAGAGTTTGGTCCATTAAACTATTGAAAGAACACATAAGGGCTTTTATTCGGCTGCTGATTCAAACTCCGCTTGGCTCGCACATGAGAGGAGTGCTTGGTTTAGGTTTAGTTCCCAGGATGTTGAATAATAGACTCTGCAGCCCGGTTTCTTAAGCAAAGGGGTCACACCCAAAATGGGTCACAGTTCAGCTAGTGATGGGTCCTCTCATGACTAGAGTGGTGGTGTGTTTTAATGAGCCTGGATCCCACGCTGAGAGGATTACCGTCTTGTCTTTTAGACTGGAAAAGTCTTTTAAGTGTTTTTTTTATTGTTTTTTTTTTTTTTTTAAACTCTCGAGCTAAATTAGCAGACGACTGAATGTTTATATTGAGTTCACGTGCCAGGAATGAATCTTGTCTGTGTATCAGGACACATTTGCAGGGAAATATCTGATGCTAAATGCTAATTATTTATCCTCTTTACTAATAAAAGCAAATGAGCCCAATATACATACAAGGTTGTGGATAAAGTGGGATTGCTAAACAACCCTCTAAACTCCAGCACATATTTTACTTTTTTGGTGCTATTTTGGGAACTACTGTAGGAGATGAAGACTGATTTAGCACGTAATCTTTGAAGGAAAATTTTAATTTTCTACTCTTTTTACTTTTTGAAAATAATTTATATTTGCTATGATAACACTCAAAGTCCTCCTCCTCTCAATAATATATGTTACTTCTTGTTCCTACAGAATGATATTTGAGCTTCACTGTGCAGAATGGTGTATGTGCAGAGTTTGAAACTAGAAGGATGTTTTCACATTTATCTGCTGAAAATGGAAAGTTTCTCTGTGCTCACCGAAAATCTGATTTTAAGGGGTGGGGTAACAAGCATGCTTTGTGACATCATAAATAGTTTGGAAGTCAATGTTGATCCAATTTGCAACTTATATAACTGTGATGTAGAAACCTGAAGCCGCCAGTGCACATACACTGAGAATAGACCTGAAAACTTTGGAAATGAATGAAATTTGCATATTCACAGACTATGGAAGTCCCCCCCCCCCTTTTTAATTTTTTTTTTTTATACTTATATTACATATGTAAACATACCTATGATTATTAGATTAGATTAGATCAGAATAGATCCTCCGACATGTTACACACTGGACCTTTAAATTAAACATAAATTATTTTAGAGATAAGGTTTGGTTCCTTACCTATAGTGTTAATGGCTGTGTGTAAATTGTTCATAAATGCACTTTGAAAAAGTTGCAACATGGTCATCTAACTGAATAAAATTGGTTGCTGCCCTCTGAATTTACTCAAATGAATCTCCTACTAAAAACATGTGACATTCTTTATAACTGTATACATTATACTGAAAATTGCTGGTCTCTGACAGCAGTGCCAGAGGTATGAGACTGGTATAATACAAGGTAGAGAGCCGGAACCACCTGGCCGAGGATAAGGCAAACAGCGTAGACCAGGAAGAGATGGAGCATTGGGACCGATTTAACTCCAGCAGCTAAAACAACAAAAAACACACTACACAGCTGGACGGACAAACCTAAAAAGTCCCTGCTTCTTACCCTGTCACCAATGCTTTGCTGTGTGTTCAACTGAACATATAAAGAAAACAGAAAGCACAAACCTGCTTCCCTCTTGGAAAAAAAACGGATGACAATCTTTCCTCACCTTTGTATCCTACATGTGTTGGCACATTTGTTCACGCTCGCACACCAGTTTTCATGCGGGGTTTGATGTAGATCTACAAAATTTTTTTATTTGTTAAAGAAACGATAAAAAAGGAACAAAAAGCTGAACACATTATCCACCTGCCCGGCCGAAATCAGTGAGTCACTGTTTTGATACTGAAGCAAAAATAAAGTTAATGGAAGACGGCTTAAAACCATGTGTGGGCTCCGGTATAAACCTTGGCCTGAGCCTTTAGTCCACTTCCAGTATAAATACAGTAATTGAGTGAAACATCCATGTTCTATTTATGAGCTTGTTGCATAAGAACAGAGAGAGAAAGAGAGAAAATGGCTGTAGAGAAAGTCCAGTCTCAGACAAAGAGAAGTTCAGAAAGAGGGGAGAGATTTAGAGAGTTGAGATCCACAGATATACAATAAACCAGAGAGGACACAGATAATTCAGTAACAAGCTGCTGTTTTTCTTTGCTCTGGGCATTTTTAGCATTTAACTTAAGTATAATGACATTTTTAACAAAACCCAACAAAGAGCAGCTCAGGACATTTGATCCTGTCTAATGAGGGGCGTGCATGTTTGAATGTTTGTGTGTGGGTGTGTGTGAGGGAGGCCAGAGCTTGGTCAGCCATTCATTAGATGTTCTCTCTCCATCAGTGGCAACTGATTAGTTGCATTAAGTCGTAAGACACACCACACTATTCACAGGCTGCTGCTGCTGCTGCTGCTGTGTGTGTGTGTGTGTGTGTGTGTGTGTGTGTGTGTGTTTGTTTCCTATCTCCAGAGGCAGTCCTCAAATGTTGAGGGGAACTTTTCAGATATTTGATATTTCTCTCCTAAAACATGCAATGTGATGCTGAGACCAGCTGCCACCTTTGCTTGGGGACACCTTAGAGTCTTTGTCTGTCTGTCTGTATGTATGTATGTGTGTGTGTGTGTGTGTGTGTGTGTGTGTGTGTGTGTGTGTGTGTGTGTGTGTGTGTGTGTGTGTGTACCCACATGCACAGGAAAGTGATTGAGGTGTGAGTCACTTTGAGTCATAGCTGCTTTATTTAGCTCACTTGTTGAAAGAGAAGAGAAGACATAATAAGGCACAAGAAGGGGTGATGACAATCACAAAGACAGAACAAGAGAGATAAAATCAAATCACAGAAAATATTTAAAAAAAAAAGTCAAACAGCAATCTTCAGCTAACTGGTACTTAACTGTCCAAGAGAAAATAAACCCATACTCTCCTCCTTGCCAACTCCTGATTCAGTCTTGTTGGATCTAATCTTGGCTGTTAGCAGGTGTTGCAGGCACTCACACACTTTAGAAAACTAGAGTCTACAGATTAACTAGCTGGTCTGTGAAGTGTACTGTGTGTTTTTAGGCTAACGTTGACATGCTAACATACTCAGAATGAACAATAACATAATGATGTTCTGCAGATATATGGTTTACCGCGTTCACTAGTGTAGTGTTTTTTTTGACTTGTCATTGCAGAAAAAGCACAGGTGGATCGAACATACATCTAAAATACTAACATTGGTGGCTCCATTTAATTGTCCCAGTGAGTGAACAATACCAGGGCTTTAAACAGGCTAGACTACATGGACTGCAGCCATTGTTTATGTTACCATTACACCTGTTCTTTTCTGGCTATAAAAATTATACCTTTAAGATAATAAGTACTTGATGTGTAGAGCACTCTGTTGATGTGTATACTCATGTACATCCACAATAATAGTTTTGACATGAAACACTCGAAGACTTTGTGCAAACCTACAAAACTGAATTGAAAAAAAAAAGTTTTACAAAATCCATTGGCTCTAGTCCCAACTGTTGTCTCACAATTACTTTCATTTTCCTCTCCTCCTTCCGGATCCATAAAACATAGATTGCTTTGAGAAAACAAAGATGGGCAACATCTGCAAGATCGGCACTTGCAGTGAGGAGAGACAGGAAGGGAATGTGCCGAGAAGGAAGGATGGGAAGGGATGAGAGGAAACGACCTGTGGTTATCTTACAATGTTTTTTGTTTTTTTTCATTTTCAGACTGGAAAGAAAGTGAAAGACATGGAAGAAGCCTGGTCACAAGTCAGGAGGACTTGGTCTTCAGCGCTTTCTTTTTGATATGTTCAGCTCTATAAACACACATGTAAGAGTGATTACATTCTAAAACTTTTCCAAAACAAGTGAATTAAAGAAACATCTTATTCTTTGTCTGAAATAAGTTTTCCAGTTACTTATAGCAC